TAACCTGTTGCCACCAGAGAGGGCCCTGACTGCCTCTCACACAGCCGAGCAATGGTGGCTAAGAGCGGAGTCAGTTAGGATACTTGAGCCCAAGACCTGCTGAGGGAGCCTGGCCAGAGGATGCCCTGGAGGTGGGGAGAAGCCACAGACGTGCGCTGTTAGGTCAGGGGTGCTGGGCGTGCACAGCTGGGCACTCTTCCCAGCCACCCCAGCACTAAGCAGTGTGCCTGTGGCTGAGAGGAAGGCAAGTGGCGGAGCTGGTTCCTCCAGGCTGCGGGCGCCCCACCACCACCCCGACCTCTTGTCCTTACCTGCAGGCTGGGTGCAGAGACCTGATGACTTTAATCCAGGGTAGAGTCAAGGGTGGAAGCAGCGTGGGTGCCTGAAGGAGGCACTGCCAGGCTGTTCCCCCAGTCAGGGGCCTGTTTGGAACGTGTGTTGCATGAGGGCCCCGAGATACGGTGTGTGTGTTACTGCAGCTGGGCTTGCGGACGGGCTGATGAGCAGGGCAAAGGGAAGGAAGGACTCAAGGAGACCCTTGGTCTCCGGTGTGAACAACTGGGTGCTTGGGGAGGCTTCTGTGGACCTCACTCCTGGAGGAGTGAGGAACTGGAGGAACTCGCCACTGCCACCAGCACCGAGGTGACATGCATTGCAGACTGCTGGGAGGGTCTTCCTTCCCCGGGGATTCTGGGCACAGTCCGAGGCAGCCCCTTCTGCTGCTGTTCGGAGCATCGGCAGTCCAGGTGTCTGCAGGAGCCTTGGCATGCTCCCCTGAGCGTGCATCTTTTGACATAGCCCCCTTCGCAGCCCCCCTGGCTTGCACCCCTTTTCAGCCTCCCCTGGTGTGCACGCCTTCGCAGACGCCCCCCAGCATGCACCCCTTCACAGGCCCCCTTGGTGTGCACCTGGCGTGCACTGAGGCAGGTTCATTCTTCAGCTCTCAGCTCAGCTGACAGCCCCTTTCCTGACTCCTCCTCCCGCCGGGTGGCCCTGTGCTCCCAAGGGCTCCGGGCTCTCGGCATCTTGCCTTGCTCCTGCTGCACTATAATGTTCGAATTCTCTAAGTGTCGCCCTGAAGGTAAGAACATGGACTGTGCACCTCACCCCACTTGTCTCACACCCCACTTTGGTTGCTCACCAGCTGTGTGAGTGGTTGCTACCAGTAAAATGGGGTTAGGGGCCCTCCCTGGTGGCGCAGCGGGTTAAAGCACAGCACTGAGAAGCTAAAGCCACTTCCGCATGAGTTCGATCCCCGCCCTGGAGGTGACCA